GTGCCCAAATTGTGGAAGTGCACGAAAAGAGTTCACATTTATTTCTACTTCTACTGTGCTTCAGTATCATGAGATAATATATTGAAGACTCCGCTGCTAAGGTGCATCATTAATATTGCTTTAGGATCAGAACGATCAATAAGACAGGGGCTATTTATCCAAACAATAAAAGTTACTCATAATAGCTCTACACCTGACATTGGCGAACTATTCCGCATGTTTGCTCTAGCATCGCCTAATTTTTCACAAGCGAAAAAAGACCATGTTGTACACAACAACCGATATTGACTTTGCCGCTTTTGAAATCATTTTTGTGTGCTCTCAAGATGGTGCCGAAAGACTTCGAATCATTTCAGTTCTGATGTGTTGAGTCAATGCAGGGTCATGTTAATCGAAGAAAAAACATGGAGAATTTTTGGCGCATAGTTTATCCAATGACGTTTTTCCTAAGGGTATACCCAAAAAAGGCTTTCGCATAATCGAATCCCCTTCTAAGAAAACGTTTGTCCCTTTTCCATAGTAAAGAAGAAGCTACCAATATACTTATTGATATAAATTGCAGATTAAGATATGAAAATATTCTCAGATACTCTTAATTTGCTACTAACTCAACAATTTATCAAAATTCTTTCCTCACTTATCTCGCAAAGCTATAATCAAAGAATAATTTTGCTTTCAGTATTCAGAACGTGTGCACAACAAAGGAGTGTCCATGGAGTAATTAACTGAAGAAGATGGAAGTCCGCCATCACAATATTTCTTCATTTTTTTTGTATTTTCTTGCACTGATTTTGCACGATCTGTAGCGTTTTATTTGTTTTTACAAATACGAATAAATTCTTCAATATAAATAAAGATTATTTTAACAAGACCAGCAAGAGATGACTAAGGAACCGCATCCTTAAACAAATCAACAAAAGTTACACAGTAGTATTCTAATTTTTGAAATGTAGGAAATTCGCTATAAAATTTTTTCAACCAAGATACTTAAACAATCTTAGTTACAGAGGTTTCAAAGCTAAAAACAATTCTGGTGATCACTGCTGAGTAGTGCATTACTCTTGTCTAGAAATATTGTTTTTACTTTTAAAAAAGCTATGCTCTTATGGTGGGAGTATGCGAAGGTTCTATATTAGAGGATCTTAAAAGAACAAATGTTAGTCAAAGTGACGCGCGAATGCACAGATGTCTGAAAATGAACTCAAGGTGTGACCATGAATTAATCGGATGACTGTAAGTAGGCCCTGGCCCTAATATTAGCACAAATAAGCAAATTGTCCAATTTAAAGGACATCATAAAGGGCTGGTGCAAAAATCCTCACCCCTTCTTTTGAATATAAATAAAATTATCACTTCATTGATTATCCTAGTTCACTGATCAAGACACAATGGGTGCAATAACTTTTATTAGATTATATAGATAATGATTAGGAATTTTACAGCACTGGTACAAATATGGTATCGTATATAATATGTTAACGATTACAGATACTGATGAGGGCTAAGTTCAAAAACTGCCATTGGGATTGACAAGGTGGGAGTGAGAATCTTTTCGCGTAGAAAGGACGTTCCATTGCGCACCTTTTGCAATGAGCTAGACCGCGGTACCTGGCTCTTCCAAGCTGATATCGCAAGCGCCACCTATTGCTTCAAAGTAGAGGTATTGATCTGAATCACATATGGTAAAAGTGTAAGCGCAATTTGATGAGTTACAATAGAAGGTACATTGAAGGAGAATTCAAAGGTGCAGTGTTGCAAACAATAGACACAGAAATATATCCAAATATAGGTTACGGAAAATATTTTGACGCATGTTCATTTCACTAGCTTTCAAAAAAAAATTTTATATGCAAGCTTTTCAAAATCATAGAGTACTTTTTACACCTCGAATTATCATCCTCTAAACACGGGCGCACATTCGCTAACGAGAGGCTTCACACATGGCACTTCTTTTGATACACTACTCTCACACCTCATGAAGAAATCTATTTTCAAGGACCCAGAAGTATTGAAAATTCTTATGCGAGCTTTTGCCTTGAAATACCCTCGGCAGGAGAGTTAAGGAAATTAAGGCCT